GAACTCTTAAACAATTGTCGATTGATAAAGGTCCACAATTTCCATTAGCTGCACTAGTTTTACTTAAAAAAATTTTAATACAGCTGAAGAGTGCAGGAATGACACTGCACAAGTGGTGCAGTAATCATGCTGAACTTGCAGAAGAAGATACACCTATCCCTTTCCTAATGAAGAAGAATCTACAACACTTGAAGTATCCTGGAGGTCTAGAACAGACTATTTCTGTTTTAGAGTGAAACTCGATAATGACATAGTTGTTACTAAACGACAGATATTGTCCACAATTGCTAGATTGTTCGACCCGATTGGTTTACTAGGGCAATCATAAGTAAAGCTAAGATATTCCTCCAACGCTTGTGGTGGTTAAAGTTGAATTGGGATGAACCACTGCCAAAAAAAGAAGCTGATGAATGGAAGAAGTTCTCTACTGAATTGGAAGTTATAAGTAAAATAGGTGTGGTGTGGTGGTGTATTTAATTATGGCAAAGCACACTAGGGCTATCTGCCTAAGGGGAGGGATGCCTTCGTGGAGGACTTTCTAAGGGAAACTGGCTCGTATACACATTACACATGGGGAAAACCACGAAAACACCCATGCAGCCAGCCCGTTCGCGGGATTCGAACCTCAGACCGAACTACCAGTGTCCAACGACTTTACTGCTTGGCCGCTGGTGGGCTATAAGTAAAATAGAAGTTGAAATGTTTATCCTTATTGCAGAAGTAGACCATGTGGAACTTCATGGAGGATGCCTCTGCATACGGAGCAGCCATATGTTGCAAGTGCCGTTCTAGAGATGAAGAAGTGAAGACAAGGCTAGTGACTAGTAAATTTAGAGTCTCGCCTATTAAATGAGTTGCTATTCCGAGACTGGAGCTTCGTGCGGCAGTCCTATTTGCAAAGTTAATTGTTAGAGTAATATCTGGATTAGAGATTCCTGTGAACAAAGTGTATCTGTGGAGTGATTCCATGATCGTGCTTTCTTGGATACAAAAGGAGCCTTATCAATTGAACACTTTTGTTGCAAATTGAGTGGCAACAATTCAAGAGTTGACTAATGGTCATCAGTGGCATCATGTGTCATCAAAGGAGAATCCGAGTGATCTTATATCAAGAGGTGCTGATACGGTCAAACTTCAACTGTGTGAACTGTGGTGTGGTCCCCCATTTCTTCTTCAACCTGTGATGATTAAGTGCCAAGATGATATCCCTGAGGAGTCCGAAGAACTGTATCTTTGCGAATTAAACCCACCAGCAGTAAGTGAAATATGTGCACTTATTAACACTTCTGAGACTTTAGATGTCATCAATAACTGTTCGTCTTAAAACAAATTGCTAAGAGTACCATAAATCTTGATTTGAAAATACAAATTTAATTAACTTTTGTGTGTGTGTGTGTGTGAAAAAATAAAGAAACTTTTGCTCATGCTTTGGCTAATGGTTTAGATTTTTTGCTGATATACCCAACTTTTAATCCACAAAATCCTCTATATAAAGAAATCAGTGAAATATGCTTGATGTAGAAAAATAACAGAATAATGTTTGGTTAATATTTTATACTAACTTATTAATATTGCAAAGTCTGATAGCCATTTTGTAGCATTTTTAGCTGTTCCGAGTCCCAAGCAGCACGATCTCGCTGTTGAGATTTTATGTCGAGAAAACCCAGTACAGTATTTTTCCATCAGTCAAATTCACCACAATCAATCGCATCATAATAGGGTTTCCATAACATTCAACTACTCAGGTTACCATAAATAAACAACAACTTGCCGATAATCCAAGGGGCACCCTAAAATATAGGCTAACCTAATTGAAGTAATTTCCTCATTTTTTCCGAGTGCTCCAGAAACTATGGAAAAGCAAAGAAGCTACTCATTAATAGAATTGATTCCTCTGTTTATTTTTCAGAAACTGTGCTTTATGGCACTTATTTAATAACTGTGCTTATTTTTCAGGATCAAAGTATTTTCAGTGCATTTGCATTAGTGCAATCACCTTGGTGCTGTTTGGGGATTTTTTACAGAAAATAAAATGTGAGAGTTAATTTTTTGATTACAATTAACACTCTAAGCGGTAATATTTTTTGTGATATCTTCAAGAACGTATATATGCGTGCATATTAAAATATGTCAAAGAAATGAAGGCAATATATCAAAAGTACACAAATCCAGGTATGAAATACGAGGAAAGTTTTTACATTAAAGTAAAAAAAAAAAATTGTTCTCATAATAGTTTTGCGAAATTTGTGCTCTTTTAGAGAAAATCCTGGCCACTCAGAGGGTTAATAGTGAATGTGGTTACCTAAAGAACTGCTATGCACATGGTTGCCACAGTTTGCCGACATATACTAAGGTTAAAATATAAATAGGTGATAATACGTCAGCACATTTTCGTTTTAAAATATGATGGAGAGTAACAAAAATGCATTACTTGGATGTTCTTTCACCAATGAATAAAAAAACATATAATAGTTTTCGAATAACTATCTAGTATACATAAATATCTTACCTACAGGGAAATGATGAGGGATACTCAGATAACCGGCATTTGGCCAGGTTCCAGAAATCGCACTCGCCAACTTGGCCGATAGGCACAAACAGTTGGAAGAGTGTTTAGGTTGTCAGCCCAGATGTTAAGTAAGATAAGGAAAAGGAGAGGGATATTTTCTTTCTATATGGTTGATACTTTGCATTGAGTGTCATTACTTTACAGATAAATCTTTGTACTGATGATCACATGACTGTTTATTTTCTAAATAAATTAATTACACTTGTAATTAGAATAAGATAACTTTATTTTCATACAAGAAAATTAGAAAATATGCTCCTTTTCCGTACTTATGAATGACATTATTATTATTATGTATTAACATATAATTAATTTCTAAATAAATTAATTAAAATTTTTAATTATAGACTTGAATAAATTAATTACATTTCTAATCAGAATAAAATAATTTTATTTTTATAGAATAATATATGCTCTTTTTCTAACTTATTGTTCGTATTTCCAGATAATTTCTAATTAGAATGAATTTTTTTTTAAATTATGTACTCAATATTTAAATATATGGGAGACTGGCCATAACAAACAGGAATTAATTTCTAAATAAATTAATTGTACTTCTTATACAAATATATATTTTTTCTTAATTTATGGAAGTCATTTGTTTAATCTAACCAAATGCTTTTTTTCTACTTATGTCCATTATAAATATGATTAGGATTATTTAGAATATCAAAAGCCCTCCCGTTCTATTTGCTTAAGGAGAGGGAAGTCAGTTAGCCATGGCTTAACTCAGAGACGAACTACCAGTGTGCCACAATTTTACCCTTTAGCCGCTGAAAGACACCCTATATCATAAAAGCAAGTTTTTAACCCCTTACAATTAAATTTACATTTAAATATAATTATTAAAAATGCAATAAAATAATCAGACTTTGAAGTGGTAATAAGTTAGTATAAAATATTAAACAAACATTATACAGTCAAAAGTCGTTAATTCGGACACCCATAATCCGGACCTCAAAGCTACAAACTTTCTGCGCATGCGTCGCGTTGACGCATGCGCGTAAGACCTTTACGGCTGAGAATTTGCGTATGGGCGTGCGCAAAATACGTTTATGAATGCGCGTTTAATGTGTAACGTACGGGATAAGCTAAGCTAAAATTATCTGATTATCTATTTCAGTTAATGTTGCAGATTGCGTTGTTCCTTAATCTTCGAATTGGATCCGGCTTATTATTTTTTGCAGACTGTTAGAGCAATTTTATAAAAAGTAAGCTTGAACTTTCGATTATTCAAATAGAATTTCCGATATATATTTACTAATATGTAAAGGATATACAAAGCGAAAGTATCTTTCGGAGTCCATTAAACAAAAAGTGGAATTGCTGCAAAAAATAAATAAAGGCATATCCTTTGTTTATCTAAACTTTAACGTTGTTTATCTAAACATTGTTTATCTTTAGGCGTGCAATGAATTGGAAGTTGATCTTGTCAGCACTATCCTTATCTTCAGGGCAGATGTTTTTTATTTTATTTGGCTTATAATTGCCTTACTCAAATGTAGTATTTCATCTCCGTCTTTGATATGATTTAAATCAAATTCCTCGTCATTATAATTCGCTTCCGATAGCGAAGAAAGTAACAGAGGTTATTGAAAACGAAAAAATTTCGATTGACAAATTAGTCGGTATTCTCGACACAGCAATTATAGGACTTGAACAGCGGAACTTTGTAAAACAAGAAATTATGTCTGTTATAAAAATTAAAGAGAATGTATTATCACATAAAAAACGAAGCAACTTAAACAACTTACATTGAAAGAAAAATGTTAATAAAGTAAACAAATAAATATTAAGCTTTTTTTTGTAAATTTTGATACCCTTTAGATCATAATTGTTCTTTATTTCGTAAATTACGGTTTCATATTTTCTGCATGCCATTTTACCAGATTTAAACTGATGATCTATAATCCGGAAAAATCGATAATCCGGAATCGACGAAGTCCCGACGAGTCCGGATTAACGACTTTTGACTGTACTGCTGTTTTTCTACTTCAAGCATATTTCAGTGTTTTTTTTATAGAGAGGATTTTGTGGATTAAAAGTTGGGAATATCAGTAAAAAATCTAAGCCATTAGCCAAAACATGAGCACTTATTTTTTTCACAAAAGAACAAATAAAAGTTAATTAAATTTGTATCTTCAAATAGTTGAAAAAGATTTATATTTATAGATTTTTCTGATGTGTTACTCATGTTCCTGTTTGATAGTAATAAATGTAATGTAAACTCAAATTTCAAATGAGTAAAACACAGAAATTTTTGTATTTGCAACAAATGCATAATTGAAATACATTCGCCGACCACAACAAATTGCTTCGGGGGCGCCAGTTCGAAATCACTATTATAGACAATGTTCAAATTGCCCAAAAATAATATTTTATGATTTAGCTTTTCACGGAACAAATACAGACAGATTCAAATGACCTTATCCTATTCTATTTGATCGGTCTCTTTCTGAAATTTAAACAATTGCATAACATCATGAAAAGTCATAGAAGCACTTGTTACAAATCTTGTTTCCCTGCAGTTATGTAATTCAGGATTACATTTCTTAGGTTACCTACATGAAAATTATTTTTGTACTTAAACAAGAAAAAAAGAATAAAAATAACCCTCTTAACCTTGTTTAGGTTAAGAGGGTTATTTTTATTCTTTTCTTCTTCTTAACCTTATTAGTAAAAATTATGTGCATAAAAGAATCCAAAATGTAAAATATAAACCTGACTAGGTGATTAAATAGCCAGGGAAAGTGCAAAATCGCACACTGCTTGGTACATTTTTCAAAATCGCCAACTTGGCGCGCTCTCGTGTCTTGTCTCCTGGATTTGCAAACCCTCTAGAAGACACTATGCAAGGCGCGACATTTACAATGGTGAACAGGTAAAATAAAAGTTGAAGCAAAATTTTGAAAACTGAAAATCCTTTAAAAACAGCATAATCATTTTAAAAAACAAACATGGTTAAAAAAAATAGTAAGCTTCAAAAACTTAAAATCGTTACAAAACCCTCAAGAAATGCATTAACCTATAAATAAATTGGGGGAAGTGCAGAATCACCCACTGCTTGACGCGTTTTAAAGAATTTTACAAACTCGGTATCCATGTATACATCGACCTACTTTCACTTAAAAAAACATCCCAGAATTGCACGAAAATAGCATTGTGCACCTTTTGACCTTATCCATGAACACATCGACCTATTTTCACTTAAAAAGTCAAAAGAAAATTCACAGAAATTTAATTCTTCTTACTCTTGTAAAAAGCGCCAAACAAATAAGTGGGAAATTTATAAAACTGGAAATCCTTTCAAAAAAAACCTAATAACTTCAAAAACTAAAATTGTTTCACAAACATAGTAAGTGTAAAGAACATAAAATCCTTACAAAACGTAGAAACATTAATACTTTCCTTTCCAAAAAATTTTAGAGTATGAAAATACAGTCCTTACAAAAACATAATTTTAAAAATTAAAAATCGTTTTAAAAACATAGTAAGTTTCAAATGCTTAAAATCGTTACAAAACACTGAAAATTTAAAGGGTAGAGTAGACTTTAAGGTAACCCTTGTATTATGGCGAAGTTGTTTGATTTATCACCAAGTTGTAGTTTCATTTATGGTAGCTTGAGTAGTTGAATGTTATGAAAAACCTATTGTGACGTAATCGGGTGCATGATTCTGGGAAATTTTGAATGATGGGATGTTTCGTAAGCGTTTTTGTGTTGTGTGATGGTTTTATTCTTTAGATGGTAGAATGGCCGAACGTAGTAAAAATTAATTTGAAGTTTCTGTATGATTTGGAGCGAAAGGGGAAAAGAGCTTTAATTGACTGGTGTGTAAATGAAGGTTTACTTAGTAGCCATTATAAGTGTCCTGTATGTAGGAAGGATATGCGTCTAGTCAAACGTAAAAACCGTTTAGATGGATTTGAATGGGTTTGTAGGAAGAAAGGTTCAGATGGTCACTATGTGAAGCGTTCGATCAGAAAGAGTACCTGGTTTGAAAAAAGTCATTTGAGTATGATTGATATTTTGATTTTTACGTGGCTCTGGGTGTACGAAGCGAACTCGAAAATAATGGTAAGTGAATATTTGCTTTTGGTAGTGCTTAAATGTATAACATGTTTTTCCTTTTTTATGTTATTTTATTGAGATTATGTATTTTTTATTTGCCTATATTGTAGAACTTGGTGCTCCTTTGACTTTTTAAGTGAAAATATATCGATGTGTACATGGACAATGTAAAGGGAGTGCACAATGCAAGTTTGTGCAATTCTGGGACTTTTTTTAAGTGAAAATAGGTTGACATGTACATGGCTAAAGTTAAAAGAGTGTGCAATGCCATTTTTGTGCAATTTGGGGATTTTTTTAAGTGAAAATAGGTCGACGTGTACATGGCTAAAGTCAAAGGAGTGTGCAATGCCATTTTTGTGCAATTAGGGGATTTTTTTAAAGTGAAAAATAAGTCGATGTGTACATGGATACCGAGTTTGTGCAATTGTTTGTCTTGTTATTTTGGCTTTGTGTAGCGACGATTTTTGGGGTAAAAATCGCCAAACCAAAATAACGAGTCAAAGAATTGCACAAAATCGGTATCCATGTGCCGCCAAAAATCGCCAAGAGGTACCCTAAACTAAACTTTTATCAATTTAAAATACTTTCACTTATATGAAAAGTGGTAATTGATTCCGCTCAGCCGAAGAACGAAATTCTCGAAATGTTCTCAAATTATTGTTTCAAATAACTGCACCTCTACCATCTATTATCATCTACACCAATCAGAAATTCTAAATTTTAAAATACATACTGAGCATGCAGGAAAATGCTCCGAATTTCACACTCAAAAGAAATTTTCAGTTTAAAATACATACTAATATGCTCTGAAATTCACCTTCCAGAACAGCAAAATCGACTTGGATACCACATTTGACACACTTATCAATCTCGTAAAAAGCGCCAAACACAGCGCGCCAAATAAGTGAGCGATTCTGCACTTTACCCAAACAGCCTGCAATAGATTTCGAGGATGGAATATTATCGTGGAAATATATGCATATTTTATTTTTTTAAACTTTCATCTTTAACTATGCGATATATATCGCATTTTTGTGGTCATTACTGAATTTATATAAAGAACATGTTTTCAAACATACATAACATTATTTCAGATAATTGTTCAAATTAATGGTAAGAGTTAATAATGTTGGAGTATAAAAGTTAATAATGTTGGAGTTATATATATATATTATAATATAAAAATACTAGGTTAAAAAAAAGTATGTAGATTTACTTAATCACAACAATAACTAACCATTTACAATTTGTTCTATATGTATGGTTTACCTTCTCAACGCAAACACTACACTTTGCCTTGCGCTATTTTTGCCCAACAGAGCTTCCCCCCCCCACAATATTGAGCTGAAGAAGAAAGTTTTGGAAAGTGCTTTTTGATGCCATTTTCCTCTTGGCGTCAAAAAATTCCTCCTGAGGATATGGCGATTTTTCGCACTTCAAGATGGCAGAAAAAATTGCGCAAAGTGCCGCTTATCTGAGTTTTCCTAGTTTTCACAAATGTCTTTCTATATGCTTTACACACATGGGATTGCTCCAGTTGATATGTTCAAGATTGTATTGAAAATATCTGAGATCTCATTTTGCCTTTCAAAGTTCCTGTAGAAGCCTGTGCTTCTTTTGTGAATGTTATACACTGAAACATTTTATACTAAAGCTGCATCGTCATGGTCTTCAATAACTGTTCACCATGAAAGAAAATATCTAACACATTTTTCACTACAGGCACAAAAGACAACATTTCTATCATTAATGTCAGACCTGGATTCATATCTATATTAAATTAAGAAAGAGAGAAGTTTCATACAATTTACAGTATGTATATGGGATGAAACATTTTGGCATATTTTAGAATTTCAGAGTTAAAATTACTCAAATAAACTGCACATTTTGTTAGACAACATAATGAAAACACTAATTATCATAAAAAATGTCTTCTTTGTGAAAAAAATGGTTTATTTACTTATTTTGATCAAATGAGAATTGACATACCTCACTCAGGGTCACCGGTAGGTTTTATGCCATTCAGTATAATCTCTGCAGAACCTAAATTATGCCACTGAGTATTTAAGTCTAAAAATTTTGCTGCCCATAAATCCTGTCATCTGATGCAATCAAACCAGGTTTGAATTTGCATAATTAGGTTTCTTGGCTGCAAACAGAAATGCTTACTGAAAGGCTAAATAAAACTTGTTACTAATATATGCTGAAAAGAGAGGAAGTTCTGCATGGATAAACATACATTTCGGGTGAAGTGCAGAATCGGCCACTTATTTGGCACTTTTTACAAGAGTAGGAGGAATTGGATTTTTGACAATTTCCTTTGACTTTTTAAGTGAAAATACATCGATGTGTAAATGGACTAGTAAAGTCCAGGGAAAGTGCAATGCCGAATTTGTGCAATTTTTTCATGTCAAAATAGGTCGATGTGTACATGATATACTGAGTTTCTGCAATTCTTTAAAATGTGCCAAGCAGTGGGTGATTCTGCACTTTCCTCTACATTTCTTCAAATTCTTCACTGCTTCAAATGACTTGTTACACATATAACTCATGACATTTCTCTTGAATGTGGTACCCACATTTAAATCATCTTTATATACAAATAAAATTTTAGATAACTTACAGATGAGGTTTCTTTCCTAAGTGAATTAGCATATGCACATTTAAATTGTTCTTTTGATTAAATGACTTCTTACATACATCGCACACATAAGGTTTCTCTCGAGCGTGAATTAACATATGCCTGTTTAAACGGCCTTTTTTGCTAAACGTCTTCTTACATACTTCACACATATACGATTTCTGTAGCATGTGAATAAGCATATGCTTCTTTAAACTATCCTTTACACTGAACATTTTCTTACATAGTTCACACATATGAGGTTTCTCTGTGTGGATAAGCATATGCTTTTTCCAATTATATCTTTTATTAAACGATTTCTTGCATATTTCACACACATGAGGTTTCTCTCCTGTGTGAATAAGTATATGCTCATTCAAATGATCCTTTCTTCTAAATAACTTGTTACATACTTTACACATATGAGTTTTCTCTCCAGTGTGAATACGCATATGGCTGTTTAACATATATCTTTCATTAAACGACTGCTCACACACTTCACAAACATGAGGTTTTTCTCCGGTGTGAATAAGCATATGCTTTCTTAAACTACACTTTCGACTAAATGTGGTCTTACATATTTCACACATGTGAGGTTTCTCTCCAGTGTGAATTAACATATGCATCTTTAAAGAACTGTTTACTCTAAATGATTTCATACATACTTCACACCTATACGGTTTCTCTCCTGTATGAATACTCATATGCTCAATTAAACCTCCCTTTTGACTAAATGACTTTTTACATACTTCACACTTATGAGGCTTCTCTCCTGTGTGAATACGCATATGCATTTTCAAACCCATCTTTTGCCTAAATGACATCTTGCATGCTTTGCACACATGAGGTTTCTTTCCAGTATGAATGAGCATATGCTCATTTAAACTCCCCTTTTGACAAAATGACTTCTTACATACTTCACACATATGAGGTTTCTCTCCTGTGTGAATAAGCATATGCATTTCCAAACTAACCATTTGTCTAAATGGCATCTTACATACTTCACACACATGAGGTTTCTCTCCTGTATGAATCAGCATATGCTCCTTTAAATGACTAAATTTACTAAATGGCTTCTTACATACTTCACACATATGAGATTTCACTCCTTGGTGAATGACCATATGGTCATTTAAAACACTGCTTTGTCTAAATGATTGATTACAAACTTTACATACGTGAGGTTTTTCTTCTGTTTGCGAATGCATAAGTCCTTCTAAAATACTGTCTCTTCGAAATGATTTGTTACATATCTCTAAGAAAATGCAGTATACAGATAACTATGACTGATAGCCTTGATAACATATAACACCCTACATACTTCAAGATATTCATGCAATGCACGAACTGAAAATGGGTTGCTTTCACCCTGGCTTATCAATGCATGCTATGCAGAGTCTTATTTGGTGTTTGATGTTTAAGTGATTTGGTTTCTAAAAACACTTCATTAAATATAAATTTAATATTTTTCACACAAATGTGATTTATTGTCCGATTTTATAATTTTTTTTCCCTTGTCCGATTTATGAAGTTACACAATTATGCCATTCACGTACATATCGATTGCACGAAATTTTGATTTTTTTCCAGAGTTTTTAGTAAAACAGTGAATAAAGATGAATTGACACATTTCACCAATTTCCGAAGTATATTATCCTAGATAACAAAAACTAGTTGATTCATTATATGTTTGCTGATTAAGGACAACTGTATTAACAATAAACTGTAAAGAAGAAACTTCTTTAAATAAATTTATTATCAAGAAAACACGAGAAAAGAGACGATAACAAGCTTCTTTTTCAAAAACATATTTTACCGGCTTTTTTCTATTCCAAACTCTTGTACTGTTGCCACTATTTCAAAAAGAAAATCACATGGCGAAGAGGTTGACGCTAAGGCTACTATAAAGGACAAGCGCCTGGCCCCAGGCACCACCCCTGTTCTTATTGGTTGCCGTTTATGACGTCATGCTGTAAAGATACCATTATCTGTTTCGTTTGAATTATGTCAAGGGGAAACTATAACTACATTGGATTTTGGTTATGTCCTGTGTTAATGTGAATTTGTGCGATTTGTATGTAACAGAATAATTGCATTTAAAACGAACCTAACAATATAAGAAAAATATGTCGGCCCTTTTTATATAATTTGTTAATGCTATTTCTGACATTGCTTCGTCAGCAATGTCAAGAAATAGCACTTAATTCTTACTGTGTAAATAATGTCTGCCGCAGTTTTCATTAAGAATTAGCGGTTTATTTTGCAGAAAAGTGTTTTTAAAAGTGATATAAATGTAAATGCTAGTTATTTGCTTCATAAAAATTAACTGTTTGTTAACTAAATAACCTTCCTTTCATTTATTGTTTGTTATATAGAGATTGTTTGGTATTAAAATTGCTCGTAGTCAGATTAATTTTGTTTCTTTCTAATTCTAGGCATTAGTTTCTCTTCATTTATGGTTAAAAATAAGATTTAAAGTGATTAAGATATTTTTAAAGCACTTAAAAATATCGTTTATTTGACTTTGTCAAATTGGATTTATCGTGCTGTTTTTTATGCATTATTGTTTTGTTTCTTAACTTTTATATCTTATAAAAAAGTGTTATTGTAAAAGTATTTTATACTTATAAAAAGTGATTACTTTTTATCTTAAGTCAATTTTTATCATAAAAAATGTTTATTGTCAAACGATATTCATCTAATGACAAAATACTGCTAAAAACGGTTATCGCCTGCACATCGATTTTCACGTTTTTTCTAATACTATGTATATTAACAGTATATTTCTGAAGCTGCTTTTTATTTTTGTAATTTTTTCCCAAATACGGCAAATTATTCTATCGTCAGCCAGCGCTTTGCCTGTTTCAGCGCTAAAATACGACCTGTGTGTGTGTCAACCCTCCTTCCTGGCTATTCAATAATGCCTCGGAGAATTCTTTCGGTCAACTGTATGAATCAGCCACCATTAATATTCCCACTTGGGTGCTCGCGAATGGCCAGGCGCTTGTCTATAAAGGGGAAGCTGACTCGTCATCCATTTTGAAGCTAACTAAGCACGTTTGTTGTTATTCTCTATTGGATTAGGATCATTTCTTGACATATTTGTGGATCGATTCCGACTCTTAATATTTCAGAAAATATGGGTGGTTGTGCTGCACCCAAATTGTTCGAATCAATCCAAAAATAACTTTAGGATTGTTTCGTTTCCCTAAGAAATGAAGAAAGACGAAGAAAATGGATAATTAATTCTCGTCGAGATCAATGGATTCCGGGCCCAGGAGCGTATCTTTGTGAAGTAAGTTCAGCTTCGTATTTTTCCATAGAATGTTAGAAAAATTACTCTTCGTATTTACTTCAAAATATTTATTTTCATTTAACTGTCACTTATTGACGATCAAACTGATTTTATAAGTACAAAATCAACTGCGGAATGTGTATGTGTTTGTGCAGTAAAATATCGCCAATACTGTTTGTGATGTTGTTTCTTTTATTATCGTGAAAGAGTTTATACAGTTTGTTTGTAAAATTTGTATCCTACATTTCATGTAAACTTTGTGCTCAGGTTAGAAATGTGATGTGCCTTTTTTTATTTAATTTTACTGTACGATTGGTGATTTAAAGTAGCATTCTATGTTTTGATTCTGATGTATTATTGTCGCTAAATCTGATTAGTTGGCGCCAGTAAACTGTTAAAACTGGATAGTATGATCTAAATAATGAATTATTTTGGTTTTTCTTTATAGTAAGAATAAATATATTCTGTACTTTTTATGACATTTTGAAGACGTTAAGTGTTCATTTAAATATTCGACGAATCATTTTGGTCCCATTATCATCACTTTATTGTAGTAGTAAATCTTAATGTTATATTTTTTCCCTTTTTAAACTATAGGTACTTTAAATTTATTTTTAGTGTGTGAGCAGGAATATGTTTTAAGTAGTTTTACAAACATGATTACCTTTTAAAAATTTTGTTCTATTTTCATAAAAAAAATTTAAATTTATCAGAAAATTACATTCTTAAATTAATATAATATATGTTACTGTAATTAAATACTAGTGCTTTTGATTTTAATGTTAAATTTCATGCATGCTTTTGTTAAATATGCAGGTACATTTTGAAGAAAATCAATTTGAATGCTCTAGGCAAGATGGACGTAAAAAACTCAAGCCCAATGCTGTGCCAACTCTTTTCAATGTGCCTAATCCCACACAACTGTTGACCCCACAACGTCTAAAAGGCATTGGTTTACCAAAGCACCGTTCAGTTACATCCAATTTTTGTAATGTATGTGTTTTTTATTTTTATGGTTTTTCATAAAAAAAAAATGTTTTTATTACAAATGGACTAAATTGCTTTATAAAAAGAATCAAAATATTGAAATTAAGGCATTATGTGATAAAGCTGTAATTACAGTCCCTAAGATTAGATTAAAAAATTAAAATTTTGCTGTTGTTATATATATAATTAAGTATGTACTTTGTTTATTATAATCATATATTGAAAATTAGGCATAAAACCTCAATTTGATGTAGTAGTTTTTGGATAAAGTTTTTTGTAGTTTTTCGAGGACAATCATGCGTGGATCTGTTTTCTTCAAACTTGCTCCTGAAAGGGAGAAACTTGTATCTGATTGCCTTCAAAGTTGAAAGAGTTTAAGTCAAAATCTGGATTAAACTAAAGTTGCTTTTTTTGCTTAATTTTAAATTCTAGATAAATAGAGAGGAATACGCATAGAGTAAGTAAAAGAAATAATACTGAAATTAATAACTTTAATCTTGAGTAATACAATAATATAGTTATAATACATTGATTTAAATGTATATTTTAATGTCTTATATGTCTTGTCTGAATGTTGTTATTTTTTGTTTAAAGATTTACAAAACTTATTAGGATTATTTATATTATTTATTATTAAAATTACATTAAGTATATTTTATTTATCAGCATTTTCAGGTATCCTTACTTATATGTGTTTCATAATTTTTTGCATCTTCAGGATGGCTTGCTGCACAGTTTACCTTTATCAACTGAAGCGATTTCTGTTGCTGAACCATCTGTTGTAAGTCTTCATTTGAACAGTTATTAAATATTTAGTATTATAAACTTTTTCTAAAAAGTATTAACACTGTTTCTAAAATTTAAAAATATGTTAACGTAATATTTACTTAAGTTTAAGAAGTATGAATGCTATGAACAGTCCAATGTATTTATTGCTTTTTTATAAGTTGACAGTTACTTTTGAAATGGTAATGATTATTTATATTCATTTTTATGAGATCCGATCAGAGTTTATAATTTCTTTCACTTCCACATATTTCATATATTGTAATTTCTTTTAGGCTCATTTGCCAACAACCTTCAGCTTCATATTTTGGAGAAATACATTTTGCTGCCGAAGTATCTGATGTAAATTGCCATTTTGCACTTCTAAAAAATGTTAATAGTTTTTTAACATCTATTTGTAAACTGTACTATGTTTTTTTTTTTTTAAATGTTTCCATCTTCATAATTCATGCACTTTATTTCATTTCAGCAGTGGTTGCAAATGTGTACATTACAGTGCATTTCAGGTGTGTTTGCAACAGCATTTAGCATTACCTTATCTGATTAACTAACAGCTGCTAATAAAGCATCTATGCTATGTTTTCATTTCAGCAACTATTAAATGTCATATGTTTTACATATATTAAAGAATTTTAATATGATTTCTGAAATATGAAATTGTTTGTCTTATTGTGTGCCTTGCTAAACAGCTGTACTATATCTGGCTGTTATGCTATGGAATTATTTTTTTAATTTTGAGTGTAAAAATTTATTATCTGTTTGTGAATTATAAAATGTTATGTAAAATAATTATTTCTTAAAATGAATGTAGTTTATATCATCTGTATTTGTAAATTTCTTATATATATATATTTCAGGTTTGTTTGCAAGAACAAGCTTCAACTTCATCTTGTGATAAAATGCAAACTATTTGTGAAGGATCTCATGTAAGTAGATAATTAGTGTATTATTAAATTGCTTGCTTATACAAAACATTTCTATTAACATTTTTTTTTTTTTTGAGGGGGGTAAAAGGTTCATCAGCATTTACAAATTCTTTGTGTACATTTCAGGTTTGTTTGCAAGAACAGCCTTTAGCCTCATTTTGCAATGAAATACCATCTATTTGTGAAGGCTCTGATGTAAGTTGATAACTAATGTATAATTAAATTGCTTCCTTATATACATTTAAAATGTTCTATAAAGTAATTTTTTGGTAAAAGGAATGTAATTAATTTCATCAATAGTTGCAAATTCTCTATGTAAATTTCAGTTTTTGTTTGCAAAAACAACCTTTAGACTCATCTTGCAACCAAATTGTAATTAATTTTAATTAATTTCATCAGCATTTGTGAAGGCTGTGATATAAGTTGATAATTTGTGTTATTAAATTGCTCATGATTATGGAGATAATCGATCCCTTGAAAAGCTGGAAGTAAATTTTAAAAATCTATTTTTAAGTGAAATAAATTTTAAATATTAGAAAATAAAGCAAAAATAATCTAGAAAATGCTGAAAACAATAGAGTCAAATTTAAAAAACCCACCACAGTGTAGGAAAAGAGAGACCTGGAAGTTGCATTTTTATTTTGTGGATTTATTATCTGTTTGGCATTTAATCCAAAGGGGGCTTTGTCCCTGAAGGACTATTGTTTTCGTTTTGTATTGAAACACTATAAACGGCTGCATCACTTTTCAAATTGTTGCCACCAAATATTATCACCCTATTATATAGTGAAGAATCTGCATAAATGCATGTATATTTTTCGCATTCTGATAAAACAACCGTACCTAGAGCCATCAAATTTTGAATGACTTAATTCTACTGTGAATATGGACATCTGGAATCCCGAATTTGAAATTCGGAATTTGTTTTAATATAGATTTTATATGTTGTAAAACTTTAACGAATTTTTGATTAACAAACTGGAGGATTTCAAAGCGAGCAATGGCAATGTTGTACAGAAAAGACACTTTTATCTCCGGCGTGTGAGACAATGAATCGGGAATTCTGAAGATATGCTCATTTTAAAATTCTCTTGCAATATTGCTGTTGAACTGAATTTTATAGTTTAAGTGTGAAAAACTTGATATTTACTAAATAAAGGTAAAACGCAAAATGTCAAAAAAAAAAAAAGCCCCTTTGGGTGTAATTTAAAATCTGAAACCTTTCAGATCTTTTTGTTTGTATGTTGTGTTCCCCCCCCTTTCTTTGATGATTATTCATATAGATTTTTTCTTTATTCCAGGATGTTCTTTTTTTAAGGAATTTTATAAAACAGCAGACTGAATTGATCTCTCTTCTGCAATGCCAGAACAAAATATTACTGAAAGAACTTAGAGCAACCAAAAAAAATGAAATTAATGTTTTAAAAAAATGGCATAGCACTGAAATTCAACTTCATGACCTTCAAGTACAGCATGAGGAATTGCTGAAAGGAGTGAAAACATTTCTTTCAGATGAACAAATAGCAATGTTGAAAATTCCTCGTAGAAGCATTGCAAAATGGTTCTAACGGGGAAGGGGGGAATAATAAAGGCCTCAAAGTTAGATTTGCCTTGGGCAAGCATGGTTATAATTACTTGCACAGAATAGGTTTTCCTGTGCCTTCATACAGCACTTTAAATAAAAGACTTCAAGGTCTTGAAATTAATTTTGGAGTCATCAGTGACATGATTGAACTTTTGAAAATTAAAGGAGAAAAAATGAATGTTAGTGATAAAGACTGTATTTTATCATTGGATGAAATGGAGATTTCTGGCACTCCTGATTTTGATATTTCAAAACGTAAGTTTATTGGTAAATGTACATTAGGAAATCAAAAGGGTGCAGGAAATCACTATTTAGTTATTTTACTAAGATGTCTGAAGCTGAAATGGAAGCAAGTGGTTGCCCATGAGATAACTGGACAGGTAACACGATGCCAGCTCAAACAAACTTGTTGTCAATGTTATCGAAGCTGTCCAATTCTGTTGGATTTAATGTTGTTGGTATTGTTAGCGATATGGCAGCAGTAAATAAAGCCTGTGGAATTCTTTGGGAATATCTGTTTCTCGAAATTCAGATTAGAAAAGAAATAATTTCACTGCTGAAATTAAGGGCAAAATTATTTATGTATTTGCAGATGTGCCACATCTTTTAAAAAATCTCTGGTCTGCAACTCTTAATCATAGTATAAAACTGCCCAGTTATGTTTGCAATAAAGAAAAATTTGGTTACTTTGCATGTATATCTGCAGGATTTATAAAAGATATCTGGATTACTGAAACAAACGAAAATTGTGGTTTGAGAACTATGCATAATCTCAGCAAAGAAGACCTCTTCCCCTCACATTTTGATAAAATGAATGTTGCTTCTGCTATGAGGTTTCTTTCAATTAAAACAGCTGTAGGATTGGAGAAGGCAGTAGCTTTAAAAGAGATAAGCCCTAATGCTCTTACAACAGCATGGTGGATAAGATTTATATGTCAGTGGTTTCAAATGCTATCCTCTAGATGTAGAAAGAACTCAATTTCTGTGACAAATAAAAGCAAAAAAATTGAGTTACTTTTTGAATTTATTAATGTTATACAGCTTATAGAAATTGGTAAAGGGTGAAAACCATTACATATTGGTTTGATTCTTTCTACTTTATCAGCCATACAGTTAGCAGAGGCATGTTTTCTGAATGATTTTCAGTTTATTTTGACGAGCAGATTGACACAAGATGCTCTAGAAAATGTATTTTCTCAGATACGCAGAAAAGCTGGTTTGAGGCCAAGTGCTTTGCAAGCTGTGAAAGCATTAAAGCTTATCTGTTTATCTCAGTTTATATCTGACATTAAGAACTCCAGATATGCTACTGATTCAGATATTTACTTTATTAAACTATGCAAAAGATGAATTTGAATTTCTGAAGGAGAAAAAAAAAAGCTTTAGAGCCTGTTACCCATACCATAAGTTTCTGATGTATCTCTACAGAATCTCACCCTTAGTGAGGAAAATAATGTCTGTTAATATTGCAGGAGCTGCAATAAATTCTGTTTTGAAAAATGCTTGTAATTCATGCTTACAGTTTCTCTTAGTTTGTGAGCAAAATACTCCTTCCATTGATGAAAATAAGCAGTACATAATTAATTTTGCAAATTTAGGTGGGCTTAAATGTCCTTCTCCTGATTTTTAACTGAAATTTTTAAATTGTGCCTTCTGTGTGAAAAAATAATTCAAAATTTTCGAGACAAAATAATACATGGAAATGTAACTATGGATGTGGAATTTGTTAATATGATTTGTAAGAAAGCAGGCAAGGTAAATATTCCCTCCTGTTGCAATATCAAAACAAATATAATAAAATATTATATGACGCCTGTATCTCTAGTATAGTACGAGTCAGCCTGTATCTCTAGTAGCTCTAGTTGACGCTATCTACGTTGCGTTGACATCATATATGTTCGTTGACTACACATTGCTTTCCAGTGATAGAAGTTATTCTGTTTTATATTAAAAACGACTACCTCAATAAACTAGGCCTAAAACGTAACGTGAAACAAATCATGCTGCAACCATAAGCAAACACAAACATATTTTTGAAGACGTACCTCCATCGCTCGGCACTAAATCCCCGAACGCGTAGGCAGGCCACGTGATCGTCACTTCATGCGTCATGGACCTTATAAGAAAAGACTAACCCAACTTAGAGATACAGGCTGACTCGTCAGCCATTTTGAATCTAAGCTTTAGGGTTGCAATTTAGGTGTGGAGCGGCAGCTTTGGCTCTTTAGCGCTGTCCGCTAAAATTTAACATTCTAGAGAATCCGAATTTCAGCTTTTTTCTGCTTCCATATAAAAATGTGTGGCTTTTTTCCCTTCTTTTGTCTGCAGTTCAGATTCTTTCTCGTATTTTTTTTTTTAAATTGCCAAATTTCTCGTATGATTCAAGTTATTTTAAAAGTTTCTAAAACATGTTCACAAATCATATTTCAAATTTGTATTTTTAGTTAAAAATACTTTCTTTTTGAATTCCTTTATTGAATTTTCAATTTTTTTTCGGTAGTCTTTCCGTTTTCGCCGGCGGCAAATCTCGCCAAGCAGACTTTATTGGCGACAACAATAGAGTATACACATAAAAAAATATTTAAAAAATGTTAGTTCTAAGAATTCTTTTAAAAAAAGAAGGCATAAACATCTTAATATCGCTTTAAAATTTTATA